CACCTATCTCTCAAATGGACCATTGACACTCCTAATTGAGATTGTAGATAGAGTGTCAATGGTCCATTTGAGAGATAGGTGGCGGTAATGCACTTATAAGTCTGTGATCCGCCGTAAAGCAAGAAGAAAAAGAAGCCTCACACGCTCAGGACAGTTCAGACTTTGCAGTGTTTCAGAGGTAAAAAATTATTTAAATACTGTTCAGTTTCTTGCACAGACCGATCGTTTCGTGTCTTTACACATCAATGTATCGTCTCGAGCCACAGTGTTTAATTTGGTTTTGTTTATGTATGTTTTTTTTGACTCTCAAAGCCGTGATTCCCATTCACTTCCATTATAAGACTGACAGACTGCAACGGTTTGAGTTAAAAATCTTAGCTAAGAACTTCATTTGGACAACTTTAAAGGCGATTTTCTCAATATTTAGATTTTTTTGCACCCTCAGATTCCAGATCAATGAAAAGCATATTCATTCAGCTTTGAGATGCTGTATAAATCTCAATTTCAGAAAATGACTGGTTTTGTAGTCCAGGGTTACTCTGGCGCTACTCTGACTAAGAGACTGTAAGTTCAGGACACATACATGCAGTTGCGTGCTGCCAGGTCCCGGTGGAGGAAGTTTCTGCCGCTGAGATACTCCATTCCTTGAGCGATGCCAATCATGAACTTCAGGAGCATCTGCGTAGGGAGATACTGGAAATACAACACCACTTCCTATTAGACCGTCACAGTTTGGTTCATGCATGTAGTAGACAAACAGTAAAGTTGTTGTTTTTTTGCCATCTTACCACAGGATCTTCCCTGAGACGGGAGCGAAGGAGGAAGCTGTGCAGGTCTCCATACTTCATGAAGGGAAGAACAACCATCGGTTTAGGAAAGTGGCCTGAAACAACCTCTAAACAAACACCTGTGTGAACAAATCAACATTATAACAAAAGATTAACATCATTTTTCTGAACATATTATGGATTTGAACACTATTTCATATGAATATCAGATTGTTTTTATTCTATTTGTTAATAATGAGCATTCAGGCATGTTTCTTACCCAAGAGTCTGATGACGTTAGGATGGTGAAAATCCTTCATGCAAGCAGCTTCATTCAGAAACTCTTCGATCTCTCTCTGGGAGAAGTTATCCACTGAAAGAGGCAGAAATCAATGATTCATATCTTTTATTATATTCTCTTCTTGGCCTATCTAGCTATACAGATATTTCATCTAATATACGTTTAGTGCCTCTGCAGGCCCTTGTAATGATCTATACAGGTAGCTGTTAGATTAGTTCATGCTACTTGAATCAAGTGTTGAATATGTGGCTAATATATTACCATAAAATCAGCTCTAAAATCACTAAAACAAGAGTACTTCAAAATGCTAAAACTAGCAATATCCAGATTAATATCCAGTTTCTATCAATATCCAGATTAAAAATGTCCCACCACTGAGTCACGGAAGATGCACAGTTAACATTTATGACATAATTTACAGACACTTTTGTATTTGATGTTGATTTGATTTTAGGGAACGCTCACAATTGGTTATACTGAGAATTAATTTTTTGAAGAATTTATTTAAATGAAGTTATTTACATACATTAATAAGATTCTCTCATTAAAAAAACCTAAAAAAAAAGATCTGGGTGCAAATATGGCAATAACTAAAATTGTAATATAATTTAAAAAATGCAATAATAAAATAAAAACATACAGACAAATAATTTAAAAATTGCAAAATATATATATATTTTTCAAAATAAAATAAAATACTTAAAACTTAAACATTTTTAAAATAACAACAACAACAACAACAATAAATGTAATACTTTTTAAAATAATAAAAAAACAACTAATTTTAAATAAAATAACTACAAACTGAAATTAAAATGACTTTCATTTTTGAAACCCAAAAATTTGAACTCACATTTCATGGTCTTGACGGCAACTTTTTCCGACATCCCATCAGGTTGTTTGAGATGCCCCTCCATCACAGACCCAAACTCACCTGTAAGAGAGACATCAGGTCATTAGCTACATCGGACACGAGCTGCAACACATCACCCCACCAGACTGCGTTCTCACCTTCTCCGAGGACTTTACCGATGGACAGCAGGTTCCTCATGATCATCACATCCTGGAGTTTGCCCTGAAGCTCACTGCTAATGCCCAGACTGGCAACTAAGAGAATGAAGAAATACTTTATAATCTATAACACATACTTTTTTGGAAACTGGACACAGGCAGTTGATAAATACACTAATAATGCTTGACGTACGTGTGATTTCGATGGCTGAGCGGTTGTAGGATCTCTGAGGTCTGTACTCAACATTAGGAATGAGTTTATCGTCAGGGCCGAACAAACACCTGTAGAGGGCGCCGGTGATATACATTTATACATAAACAGACCTGACAACCACACAACAATTCGACATGACATAAAAAAAATTAAACAAAGCCCTTAATTTAGAACCTCATGATATTTTACTTTGTTATCACAACCCATCTTTTTCTGTTAAACACATTATTTACATTATTAATCTGTTAATTATCTTAGCAAAGTTTTATATTCAAAAGTCAAAAGTAATTAAAAAGAAACCATCATATATTACATTTTGTAACGCTGATCTTAAAATATACTTTGAAACCCTTTCTAATATGAGATCACAAAATAAGAAGTTTATAAAAACAATACAAATTCTAAAGCTTTTTAAATTTAAACTGCCTTAATGAATGTATAATTTTTTTATCCTGTTATTTTATATATATATATATATATATATATATATATATATATATAT